GGATTTCTCCCCGGCGTGTTCTTACGAGTGAGTTTTCTGTATAGTGTTTGCGCAAAGGGAAAGGGGGAAAAAATCACCACTGGGAGGTAGAGGAGAGTTGAGTTTGGCTTTTTGGTGAGGGCCGGGGTTCAGGAAGCTTTGTGCTCTCTAGAATCACAGAGAGGCAGGCAGTGTGTTCCTGTCAGAGAAATATAAATACAGATTAGCAGCTCCGGTGCTTTGTCGGTGCTGACTGCCCGTGCTGATGAAGGCGTGGGTAGGAAGGCGATCGCTTATGAAGCCTTGCGAAGTCTTACGGTGCCAGAGAGAGTTGGTAGTGGGGAAAAAAAAGAGGGAAATAGAAATGTTTAGGCCGTTCGGTGAAAGGGTTAGTTGGGAGGGCAAGAGCTTCTAGTTCTCTCCCTGCCTGCAAGTTGTACATCCAGCTCTGACGTTTTTTTCCCTAAGGACTGGAAAGTCCTTTCTTCGGACTAGAGAGTAAGCTAAGAAGCTGACATCACTGAACACCTTTTACACCTGTGCAACTGCCCAGACCTGTCAAAGGCTCTACTTCAACACTTCTTGGGGCCCTCTATTTGAAGACATCTTGAACACCTGTGGAAAGCAATGTATCATTTGGGGATCTTGAAGCAGGTGAATCTTGGGAAAACTCGTCACTCCTTTTTTCACTGTTTGTATTCAGTAGAGGTACTAATCGTTTGTAGAAAGTCTGAGCAAGTTTTGTGCATTTTTTTCTTATGGTCATCTTTGGGGGGGGGGAGGGGCGGGGCGGGAGAGAACCAAACCAAAAACACTGGGGACAGCCTTTACTAATTCTAGTGTCAGGTGCCCTTTTCTTGAAAATGATTCATGTGACATAGTCAGACTAAATCTAAGACAGTAAGTGAGAGCAAGTTTGTTGATTTCAGTGCTCTAGCGCTTGACAGAGAAAAAGATGGTTTCTGAGATATCTGTGCTTGAAGGTAGAAAAATAAGAGTTTAAAAGACATTCCTAATGTCGCTAGGCAATTGGTTTCACAAAGAAGTGCTTGCTGTAAGATGGCTTAAGGTGACTGCACACAAAGTGGAGTGATTCAGCTGCAAATACGCAAGCAGATTACTGCTCAACTTCTACTGAAGAATTGTAGGCATTGCTAATTTGAAAAGGTAATTTTATTTTTTATTAATGACTTCTCTTAATATAAGAACATTAGCTAACTTGAAACCAGGAACTGAAATAAACACTGAATTTTCTGTAGACAGACCACGTTAAAGCAAATGTGGAGGTACCTCATGGTTATTCAGGGTTCTGTCAGCTCCAAATACTGTAGCGTTTAAGTATCCTTATACTATAAAAAACTTACAGTTCAATTGTTCCTGTGTTGTTGAGAATAATGCTTTTGTTCCATTTATTCCATTATTTTTTTTTCCCTTTTAAAGGCAGCCAAACTGAAAGAAAAGTGACTGGCTTAATACTGTGCACAGAGATATGAGAAAGGAGACCACAGCCGAGGCCTCCAGGCCCTACACTATGTCACTGACCACTGGACTAAACGTTTTATCATGGTGAATCTAGGGGACCAGCTAAACCAGTAGCTGCATTCACATAATCTAAGTTGCCTGAAGGCTTTCAAGACAGGAATTGTAGCTACTTGATGTGATTGTAGACCTTGTATCATCTGAACTACAGCTGTAACCTGTGCCTCAAAAATTTGATAGCCAATTGCTCCTTTTATTTGTCTTACAGACATTGTGGTTTGCTTGCTCAGGCTCCTACTTTAGGAATAGTACAACATACCTTAGATTATTTTTTTATTATTGTAATTTCTATTACAGAGTAATAAAAATATATATGTCCACCTTATAATGACACAGTCCCTGTTCAAAAGTGTTTCTTTAAAATTGACCACTTAAAACCAGTGAAAACTTAGAATGTCCTGTTTTATGCACAGGGAACTGAAGGATAGAGAAATTATGTGAGTATTTCAATATTGGACACCCAGTGCCAATAGAATTGAATCTTTCCTTGGCTCAGACCCAGATCTGAGTACCATGCGTCCCCTGCAGTTTACCTGAGGGCCTCATCTGCACTGAGAAACCCTTCAAAACAAATAAGAATTAGGGGTAAGATTGTTCTGAGTTGTGTAGGCAGTCTGACTTTTAAGACAGAGCTGTCTGATAGTTCTCTTTAAATACTAATGTTTTGGAAATTTATAAATTTTAAGATTACTCTCCTATTTCTTTTTCATCAGGGAGTGGGACTCATTTCAGTGTAGAATCACTAAGGCTTCAAGGGGGTGTGAGCTTTTTTTTTGTGGAAGGGTGTCATTTGAATCTATGTTTATGTAAAGGATGTATATACACAAATACATCTCTGATAAAACTTTTGGCAAATGCTTTTGCTGACAGCCAGATTTCAGAAGCATGGTTTACTTTTGGAAAACAGGAATTATGCTTAACTGTAGCTTTACACAGGAAAAGAATAAAGACTCCTAAGCATCTTAGTCTAATTTTTAGTTGATAGCTGTTAAACAGGAGGGGAGGAATTCAGTTACTTTATAATTACTTGTAGCAGAACACTTAGCATCTTCCTCAATTTCAGGGTGACTGTCAGTATATAAGTACAACTCAAGGATAGGCAGTAAGCTTTGTATTTCATCCATAGCTGCAAGTTATACTCTGATAAACGTGGACGTTAAGTGTTGTCGATCTGTCATTACAGGCATACACCTGTCTTCAGAAACAGCTTCATAACCATGTAATTTAAAACTTAAAGTGTGAGAGCGAGCCAGTTCTGGAAATAAGTCAAAGGAGTGGGGAGTGAAAAAAGCGAGATGAATGCATCTGGAGGAAGCTGTGGGAGCCCTAGCTCTGCAGAACCTACAGGAGATTTCTTCAAGGAATTGTGGTCCAAACTGAAAGAATGTCATGATAAAGAAGTACAAGGTAAATTGTTAAAGTTTGGGTTCACAGGAGGCTGGCTGTTACCACAAGACAATGTTGAACCAGAGTACCACCACTCTGTCTGCATGGAACTAAATAGATTTTTTTAATGTCATCTGTTATGCGGAAAGTTGGACTGAATGATTATAAATGATCTTTATAGATTTACCACCGAAGCCTGGCTTAACAGGATTAGATATAAACTCTCAACAAGTATAGATGATTTGCTAGGTTGGTGAAAAAAAAGTAACACAATGTTACACGAGATCTGTGTTTGCTTAGGAAATGTTTAAATGTTACTTTACTTTTCATGGAATATGATTCCAAGTTTCCAAATCAAGTTATTCAGACCAGTTCCAGGTCTGTCCATTTAGGTCCAGTTATATTATCACTTCTTAATTTCAAAAACTGTGGAGGACTGTTTTATAATGTATAGGTGTTTCATACCTCCTACTGAAAGTCTTGACTCAACAATTTGCACCACTGGGCCTTGACACTTTGTGTTAGTAATTTAAAAACATCCAACCGAACAAAAAGACTTCTATCAGTTTGGTGACTGAAAGGAAAGATGTACCAAAAGTAACATTTTGTTACAATATAAAATTATATTTCCTGTTGTTATAGATACATTTTAAAAAGTATCCCCCCCAAAAGAACAGTCATTTATTTTTTATGACTTTTTCTTTTTTCTTCTTTTTTTTTAATTCTTGATGGTTCTTTTCAGAGTGGGTGTGATGTCAGCTGCAGATAAATGCGGAAGTACTGACAGCATGGGATCTGGCAATCTATGGCATGTCTGAACAACAAAAACTGAACAAACAAAAAGCTCTAATGTAGAGGGTAATGTTACGTGACCCCTTCTCTAGTTTCTTGGGATGTGCAGCACGTGATTTTAAAGTTTTGGTTTTCTTTATGCAAGTGAAGATACTCTTTAGAATGCATGCCGGGTGTGGCCAGATAATTTTGCCACTAGGCAGTCTTTTTAATGCCTAGCCCTTTGTCAGTATGTCCCGCACTGTGTTAGGTAAAATTAGGTCTTCCATGATAACATCAAAGACATGCCTGAAGGATAGTTAATTTTTTCTAAAGGTGGGGATCCTCTTATAGAAAATGGTACTGGAAGATATTTTAGAAACATCAAACACAGGCTTGCCTGGACTTTGCTTGTTTCTGAAGTCTATAAATAAGAATTAAAATTGACTCATGAGTTTCCAATCTAAATGTCAGCAAAAAATTATTTTAAAGATGGTGGATTAAGGGGAAGTTAGTAGTTGCAGAAAAAGCTTTTTGCATGTACAGTACAATGTACTGAACACTGTAATGGTGGAATTCTTATTATTTATTACAAATTCATGAAAATTAGGATTTTTAACACATGATCTTGAAATGGTCAGGAATATTATACAAGTTATAATATTTATGTATCTATAGAGTATAGACCAGAGTATACTTCAACCTCACACAGTTCAAAATCGATTTTACTGAATTTTTATATTACTATATTGTAAAGGGTGTATTTTCCCACCATGTTAGCTAAACAAACCCAGCTTCTTATTCTTTTAAACTGATCACTTGCAAAAAACCCCCAAATTTTGGCCCTCTTCAGACAAAATAGCTGTTCTTTTCTCTCAAATTCAGTACGTGACAATGAGTAGGACTCCTACAACCCAGTTTCCAAAGATATTGAGCATGGTCAATGGCAGT